CCAGGAGGGCAATTCTCAGACTGCTCCCAACTTCACTGCTCCTCAGATTCACTCAGACTGCTATGCTCTCCTCAATATGACTAGAGACTCCTGAAACTGAAGACCCTGCTCCTATCTTTTATATCTCCCCAGTGCTGGGATTAAAGGCATGAACTCTGTTACTCTTTTAGATTGATTTAATCTTGTGTAACCCTTGGCGGCATTGAGCTCAGACAGATCCATCTGCCTTTGTCTCCTGAGTCATGGGATTAAAGGTGTATACCACCATTGCCTGATCTCTAGAGTGATGGGGGAAGTCCTTCTGTGTATATGTTGACGAATAAAATACTGTTGGTCAATAGGGAAGCAAGATCGGCAGGACTAGGAAAGAAGGAGGATTCTAGAAATCTAGCCAAGCGTAGGGGTTGCCATGTGATCCCAGGGGAAGAGAGGATGAGTCAGGATGCTATCCTTGGAAAGATAAGTCCTTATAGAAATATATATTAGTAGTCATTGGTTAATACTTAAGACAGGACTAGCCAATGAGAGGCCCTGGACATTGGCCGACAGCATCATAACTAATAGAGTCTCTGTGTATTATTTTGGGGGCTAAAGTGGTGATGGGACTTGGGCAGGAATCCTGCAACACTATAGCTTGAGGCTGACTTTACTTTCTGAATCCTCAGGCAAGCTTTAATAAACCATAAATAATATATCACCACAGACAAGTATATGAAGCCAGGAAGTAAACTTTGGTCCCTCTGTTGAACATCACAAGATATTATAGCTTTGGTCAACAGCTTGCCTAAAACCTACTAAGACTGTCATATTGAGAGGGAATATTCATTGTGTTAAAGTTTTGAGTTCACTTGTAACATGGCAATAGTTAACCAATAGCTAACAATTTAGGTCCAGCCAATTGAAGCACCTGCCCCTCCTGTCTCCTCACACATAGTGCTTGGCTCAGAAATGTACACGGAACCAGGCCAAGCCACCAGACGTTCTGGTTATCGAAAAATAACACACCTCTGTATTGTGTGTGTGTGTGTGTGTGTGTGTGTGTGTGTGTGTACACATGTGTGTCACAGCATGTGTGTGGAGGTCAGAGGCCGACTTTATGGAGTCAGTTCTCTTCTTCCACCATGTAGATTTGTGGGATTGAGAGTGAGCACCTTTACCTACCGAGAAGATCCTCCAGCAGATTTTCATAGGTGCATTCTCTCTTTTCCATGAGACACGATCCTAGTGAAGTGAGAAACTGAGACTTCTGTAGCCATCATGTCCCTGTGCGTGGAGAGTCCTACATTATAGTGTTGGGCTCTGTGGTCCCCACACCCGGTACTGTGCCTGCCTGGCCCAGCACTGGTGCCTAGTGCTCACTAAATGAAAAGACAGGTCAATATGTAGCATTTAGAGGAAACAGGAGCAGCTGACAGGGATTGGTAAATGCCTCTCTAATGAAATCTTAAATGGGACACACTGCCAAATGTCTATAGAAATCCACATGTTTTTGTTTTCATATATGCTGCATAGAACCACAGTTCTCAAGTTTGAAGTTGGTTTCAGCCAGTTTTCACTGGCAGGGTTTCTAAACTTCTCCAAAGATGAGCTCACTAGTAGATCAATGGATTCACTGTAACTGCCCATTTGCTCTTTTTGCTGGGGCTCCTCCAAGAGAGGGATGAATGAACCGTAGAGAGTAGGGGTGTATGTGGCGTATGACGAGTTTGCTCTTTTATGCTACCTACCCACCTTAGCAGCTACACAGGCATTGCTGCATATTACTAAAAGAGAAGAGAAGCACGGCTCCATTCAGAGACGAATGCTGCAGGCTGACACTGTTGATTCGGTGCAGTGCCACTCATCTCACCCACAGCATTCAGAGGAAATCCTCCTGTTTTACCATGTTTCCTTATGTCTTTCTGAGCAAGTATGGCAATTGGGGAAAGGGTGTACATTTTTTTTTCCCTTTGCAAGTGCTGAGTTAAATTAGGGTTAAACAGACAAAAACAAAACAAACAAACAAAAACCAAAATACAGGAATTCTAATAGCAACATCCTCGAGGACCACAAGTGTTCAGTCTGTACCAACACCAGCCTCCTTGCTGACTTTTATCATAAAGTTTTTATTAAATATTCAGCTTTTATTCTTAAAAATTATTTTAATGTTGTGTGTGTGTGTGTGTGTGTGTGTGTGTGTGTGTGTGCTTGCATGACGTGGCATGCTTGTGGAGGTCAGGGGACACATTGTGAAAGTTTGTTTTATTCTTCTTCCATGTAGGTCATGGGACTGGAGCTTGAGTCCATAGGCTTGGCAGCAGGTAGTTTTATCTGTTGTCCTATCTCACCATCCCCTCCCACACTTAAAGATAAGGCTCCAAGTAGTCCAAGTTGGCCTCAAACTTGCTAAGCAAATAAGATGTAATAAATTTTCAGTGTGTGCATCCTTTGAAAGTCATGTGTTCTCATTTTATTATAGCATCTACCAGCCACTATTGTCTTATTTTTTCCCTCTACCTCCCTAATTACTTTAACCATTTAGGACTTTTCCATTTGTGAGCCCCAGACTTGAGGATCTTACTGTTTTCCTGTACCCATAGTCTGGGTGTCTAACTTTGTTCCATTCAGCGTGTTTCATGCTTATTATTAAATATGCAATTATTGGTCTAGAGAGATGGCTTAGTAGTTACCAGCCCTTGAGTTCCTGATCATTCTTGCCTCCACCTTAAAAGTGCTGGGATTGCCTAGTTTAAGCAGTTCTGGGGATCAAATGCAGGGTCTCAGGCATGCTTAGTAAGCATTCTACCCATTAAGTCACACCCCAGCCCAAGAATGCAGACACTTCTTAGTTCTGCTTAATTATTTCCACATGGAAAGATAAGCCCAATTGTGGCCAATCTCCTGATTTTTAGGTTCCCCCATCTGAAAGTCTACAAAGTTCATATGAAATGTTCCATTTTAAATGTGTATCGCAATTTCAATGCAAATAAAACCAATGCTAGTGAAAGACACCTGTCAACTGGTAATGTCAGCTTGTGTTCCTCCCATCTGTGATGTAGTGTGTTCAGAAAGAGACACATACACAAGAGGGTTTGCATGTATGAATTCAGTTTAATCATACCAATTCTTAAACAAAAAGTTTCCTCCAAGAGACAAGAGTTCACAGTAACTGCAAAGCTTACTCACAACGTTTTAAAAATACCAGTCATGCTTAGGTAGCATTCAAAGGGGTAATAGAGAGTAACTGTAAAAACTTTGACCAGGAACATCAGCGTCTGACTTTAAAAATTACAAATACTGAAGCATTTTGGTATAGGACACAGTTAAGTTTTGACACTGTTGGTTCATTGGATGAGTTTCTGGAAGTCTGGAAAATTGTACCTCTATCAGTGGGTAATGCGCTTATTCTAAACTAAACATTTTCAAATGTAGAAAACAAACTAGCAAGCTATACATACAAAGAAAAGCCCTCTAAGACAAGCTCTCCACATGATGGATGCCAGCAGAGGCACCATGAATCCTGGAAGACTGGAATTGGTAACAGACACTCAGCCTGAAGTCTTATACACAGGCTCAGCAATGGAATCTGCATTCACCTACACATTAATGACAAACTCTGGGTTAGTATATGAGAAGCCAGCGAATTCATTTTGGTCCAAGTTCATGATGAAGAGTTTGTCAGTGGGAGTCAGTTCCACAGGCTGCCTGGTGAACTCTTTGTCGAAGTTGGAGGTGTCTCGCTTGTCTCTCTGCCAAATGGAAAGCAAACACATTAACACAGAAGCAGCAGCAGCAAACATGACCAGGACATGCCAGCTACCAGAAGGCTGAGAAAAGCTCCTGGGCCATCAGAAAGCCCTGTGCTGACAGCTTTTAGCAGATGCATCCATGTACCGGCTTTCACTTCATAGTATATGCTGGGTTTTGGGGTAGAAAACTTGGTGCAAATATTCTATGAGAAGAAAAGATTCATTGATTTCTTTAACAATTATCCTAAAGAGGTAGGTAGATGTGTGTGTGTGCGTGCGTGCGTGCGTGCGTGCGTGCGTGTGTGTGTGTGTGTGTGTGTGTGTGTGTGTGTGTGTGTGTGTACAGGTGTACTATGCTTTGCCTTTGAGGAGAATTACATTGGTTAGCTCTTAGATAGAGTATCCTGGAGGAAAACAACTCAATAGTGACCCCTGTGGCCAGGAGCTGACTTTGTTGGAAAAAAAAGAGAAGTGTTTGAACACACTGCTCTCAGAAGATGAATGGCCAGGTACAGGAAGCAGATCAGTGTTCGTTGCAAGAAGCTAAGCATCGTTCACCTCATCCTCATAATGTCTGAGACTCACTGGTGACTATCTCAACAGCCTAGATGGAACCAGAATTGTGTCAGAAGATGTGGCTCAAAGTTAGGCCAATCCCCTAGGGTCTACTTAAGTCATATTTTAGATTCAGTACCCAAATGAGATTGATGGGAGTTAGGCTTTGGGAGGCTACTCAAAAGCCAATAACAAGAGTAGAATCTGGGCCTTCACTAGCCAGAGAGTCTCTTCAAAGGTATCGGCAGTGCACTTTATAACAAACATAACTGAAGCTTAAAGTAAAATCTATGAAGGCAAGCTTGAAAAATGAGACTACTCAATTTTCAGAGTAGGTAACCTGGCCTGCCTGCCTGCCTGCCTGCCTGCCTGCCTGCCTGCCTGCCTGCCCGTCTTCTTCCTCCTTTTGCCTTCTTTCTTACCTGCCTGCCTGCCTGCATATGTACAGACATTACTAGCTACAGTTTGAGGCGGATTCTACCAGGAGTTGTGAATGTGGGCTGGCTAATGGGTCTTTATGATATGCTGGTCTTTCCAGGGTCCTTGTAAGCCTTTTACTCTTTCCCATTCTCACCTCACCTGTCTAGAGAAGGCAAAGCTGATGTCCTTGCCTCCTATTGTTTGATATATGAGAAAACGGAGGCACAGGTCACTGGTAGGGCTTGCCCAAGACTGCACAGTGGATTGGTGGGATTGGTGACTTGTATCAGACCACATAGCAGCTAATTTTGCCTCATTACAGCAGCTCTGGCAGGAGAGACAGCCTGAGGACTGTTTGCACAATGCCTAGAATTTTTGAGCAGCTAGCGGCAGGTGCCTGGCTGAAGCCAAGGTTGTGTCATGCTAGAGTTTGTTGGCTGACTCACTTCGGTCAATCTTAGTAGGCTTAGCCCCTAACAGACTGGTTGATAAGGATTTCCCATTGCCAGGCTCCAAACTACTTCTTGGATGCTCCTGAGACAAGTAAGATATTCCCTACTTCCTACTAGGGTGTCTGAGTAGGGTTATGGGATTGAGGGGGACAACCTGGCATCAGGAAGTCATCTGGAAGAGTGTGGGCAGAGATTGATAGGCTAAGGCTACTCATAAAGCTGTTTTCTACATGGTGGGCCATCTTTTGCCATTTCCTATTTATCCTGGCCTTTTGTGGAGAGTTCTAGGCTTGGACACTTGATGTCTGATCCAGATGGAAACGTGGATACTTTCTGTTTCTTTAATACTCTGTTTTCTCTGTCCTGATCCTACAAGCCAGATGTCAGCAACCTTCTTGTTGTCTTCTGTGCATTTACTGCTGTAGGAATTTGCACTGTTTCTTTCCAGGAGGGCAAAGTCCTTGTCTGTTCCTGTGTTTCCAATGCCAAGAATAGTACAGACCACACAGGAGGCTGCTCAGAAGTAGTCACTGAATCAATGAAAGAAGACTTGATTAAAGGGGCACTTCTTTGCTTTTCCTAATTCCTGAGGCAGATCCCTCTTCATACATAAGCGAAATAATACCACCAGCCCTAAGGCTTGCATAAAGGACACTGCACTTGGAGCCAGTGCGAAGTGAACTGTGTGTGGGCAAAGTCTGCAAGCTATAAAGCTCTGTGTGGGCAGGACAAGGGAAGACCTGGGCCAAAAGGCAGCTCCTCTTTTGGGGTCTCTCCCTATCTAGCCACCCTTACCTTAGAGTATGTGACAGAACTTCCCTTCCTACACCTCCAACTTTGGAAGCCATTTCTTATTCACTGTGCTTCAGTAAGCCATGTACTCCAAATAAGACTTCCTTTTAATGGGCTTCATTGCATGACTGGTCCCAGAAAATCCTCCAGAATTTTACATTAGAATGTTGGGAGGGAATGGGCCCCCTTTGTTGTGACAATACTTTTTGGGCTGTAGCATTTGAAGCCACATGAGAGCAGGAACACTTGTCTAAGAAGGGTATTGATTCTACTGGTATCCTGTCACTGATCATCATCATGACCCTACCCTTTCTCAGAAGAGATCAGCGAGAAACCTCAGAAATTAAAAGGGTGGATTCATGGATCTAGACATATGATTGGTCACACTTTACAACTTTAATTAGATTTCTTTAATTTAGTTTTTCTTTTTTCAGTTCTCTCAGAAGTTAAATACCTTTTTTTTTTTTTTGGTAGAAAATTTAAGCCTGTTTTAGGTGTGCTAGAGGGATCAAGATGTGATCAGCAAGGGTGACATACTGTGATCAGCAGAATTCTAAAGGGGGAATGGTGTTCTCCTGAGGACCTGTGGATATCTGAGTAATGGACCATGACAGATGGCACTCAAGATTCAGAAATAAGTCATGAAGTCAGGAAGCTCCCTGTCTTCAGAAGAAGAGCTAACATGGTGCCCGCCTGCTCACATTGGGGGAGCTTCTGTAGTCTGATCAAATGTGGAGAGTGTGTCTTTGGCTTCCGGAAGAGCCCCTCCCACCTCTCTGCTTCTGTACCCTCTGCACTACTTGACTGCTTCAGAAACTAGGTTAGAGGACACCCTCAACTTCAAACTGCGGCTGTTGAGACACTAAAAACCTGCAAAGACGTCCATAGTGGATTTTCTCAACAAGCCCAGAGACTCTATCTAGACAGCTTCATGATTTTAATCACTTGTTTTATGACTGTCTTTCCCACAGATGGTATGCTGGAGGAAGAGGGAGAGGGGATGGTTGCATCTTTTTTTTTTTCTCACCATTATCCTGGCACCCAGCCTGGCATACAGTTAGTGTTCAATAAATGCTACTTGGATGGATGGAAGGGGCATAAATGTATGATTGCAAAAATAAATGAAAATATATCTTTTTGGATAAAATTTCAAAATTTCCCTAGAGTTCTTACGTGCTGAAAGCTGTTTCTTGGTTTCCTCTGATCTAGAAAGTTGGTTAAAGAGGAAACAGTAGGAAGTCTGATTAATGATCCCTTACTTCCACAGAAGCTTCTGGGACCTATCTTCAGCAAGGTACACTAAGGGAATGGAGACTTTGGCTTGAAAACTGTGGAGCTTGAAAAATAATGGCAAGAATCTGAAAATGTAGAGTGTAGTGTATATATTTACATATATACTATTATCTATCTATCTTTTTATCTATCTATCTACCATCTATCCATCCACCCGTCTATCCATCCTTCCTACATTGTTCTCTAAGGTTGTGTCAGATCACTTGCGAATGGCCCAAGGTTTCTCTACAGTTTTTATTCTAAGCATGTGTCTAAGGCCTGGTGACTCAGTAACCAGATGAAAGACCCTATATAACTTGCTTGGGAATGGACATATGGCTCAGAGATACTTGTTTTGTTACAGAACAGGCAGAGTCCTATGTTAAGAGGTCAGAATACCCACATTTGTATTGTCACTGACCAACCTTCAGAAAATTACTTCTACTTTCCAGATGCCAGGTGTCCCAATAATAAAGTGAGGAGTGGGGTTGCCCTGATCTCCCTCTGTTGCTAGCATCCTAAGATCGTCAGCTAGGACTTCAAGTTTGCTTGATGTGATCTAAAAGGTACAGGCCACAAACTTGAAGCAGATTGGCATAAGAGACTAGGGAAGAATAACTATGAGGGTCTTTGCCTCAGCAGAACCGCAAGGCATTATCTTCTTTAAGAGGAGGAGGTATACTTCAAGGACGCTGATCCTTAGATAGTTTCTGTGTGACTTCTCAGAAGGCCTGGAAGTCCTAGATATCTTTTGACATGTGATAAGAATTCTCTTTAGGGCTGTCTGAGAGGAGCAGGATCTGAACTGTAGGCAAAGGTGAAGGGCCACCTGCTGTCCTCATCTGTTCAGAGGGAAATGAAGCCTCTCTCACCACTTGGACTTCTGGGAGCTCTTTGAGTTGCTTCCTCAAGGAAGCTCAAACTTAGCTAGCCTCTAAGCTTGACTCTGGTGGGAATGTGCGATCTGAACTCTGAGCCTGTGGGAGGCTCCAGCCTGTCTACCCCACCCCATTTTAGGTCACCAGGTATTCCATAAATGGTTTCCAGGCCCTGCTTTCTGGCTGGTTGAACACTGAGGCTGTATAACACTGAGTTTCTTCCTTGGGCCCTACTTTGTAGTGTGGGGGGTCCTTGTTGTTCAAAGAGAACAGTTTTCTTTGAAATAGGATTTCTTCTCTTTTGTCTTTTTTTTTATTGTATCTTGATGCTAGGAGAAAAATATCAGAACAGATGCTGAAGTGCAAATGAACATTTCCACAAACATCTTGCAAAATGACATCAAACTGAAGAATGCAACCATCATGGTTTGGAGAGATGGTGTCTCTCTCAGAGCTCTCTGAGAGCTCTCCAATACCAGTCCTACACCTAGACAAACCCCCTCCCCACAGGCACAAGTCTGCTGGGCTCCATAGCCATCTTCTTGGTTGAACAAAGCAGGCCATTGTGGCTAATAACATCTGGACATAGTTTTTAAAGCATGTGTAACAAGTGAGTATTTTTTTCTTTTTGCATTTCAACAATGACAGAAATAAAAAAGCAAATAACGTTTGAAATGTAATGTAAAATCATGGTCCTTTGGGACCTTGCTAGAGTGACCATGTGGTTCCAAGAACAGTGCCAAATGCCATTCTTGAGTAGTTTGGGGGATGAGGGTACCAGTGTCAGACATACAGTATCAGAAACTACAGCGTGGTGGTAGCACCCAAACTGGTCACCTTTTGACCCCTGGAAATGCTTTTAGGCCGATACTTGTCTAAAAGCGCATTCCTGCTTTTCTTTTTTTCTTTCGGACTTAGATAATCTTCTTAACATTGAATTAAAAAAATAAAAATAAAAATTTATTTTTAGCATGTTCTTTTCAAAGCTCTACTGCCTCCAGAACAGGCAGTGTGGAGGGATTCCCTCTAGGGCAAAGCAGCCATATACTTGGATTCGAGCCAAGCTCCCAGCCTGGAAAGTGGAAGAATATTGTTAGCATTCAGCTCATCTGTCCATTTTGTGGGGACGATGTAGGTTGGATGACCAGGGTAAAATGGCAGTGCAGAGAAGCAGGGAGAGAAACCAAGCATTTTCTCTCCCCAGTGGGCGTTAGCTGACATGCTGGGGGTGTACACAGTAGGAGGGCTTTGAGCTGCTGGGGGTGCACACAGTAGGAGGGCTTTGAGCGTGTCTCAATTATGCAGAACTTTCTACAAGCCACCTGCATAATTCCGTCTCCTCAAGATGCTCCAAACTACTGGAGGACATTTGGGTTCTGAAACATGGCCACTCTAGCCTCATCAGAAAAGAAAACACGGATGTAACTTGGCAATGATAAAAAAAAAAATGTCACCATGATAGCTGTTGAGCTTGAATGACAGAAATGAAGGACGGAGATCTACAGATCTACTTAGCTCTTGACTTCAGGTTTTAAAAATTCAGAGTTAACAAAGGAAAATCCTTCGAATTCTGATTGGTCAATATTCCTGATGACTTCCTGGTCAGGAGGTGTTAGGACTGGTGGATGGCGGGTGAAAAACCGGTCGAAGTTTTCAGCATTTCGCCCACACTATGAGAGGGGGAGAAAAGAACTTGTGGTGGGTGGGAAAAAACAAAACAAAAGCCAAAATAAAACAGAACTGAACAGAACCGGGTGTGGTTTTCCTCCAATCCCTTCCCTTTCAGAAACGCAGAGAGGCTGTCTCAATGATCAGGAATGAGAGCAATGTAAAATGCAAAATTCTCATGACCTTTGGAATGTGACCTTGGGCTCCCACCCTTTGAGTGCCATAGCTCTCAGGTCAGTCCTGGTTTCCTTTTGGGAAGTCAGGAAATGTATGACAAAGGCATGAGATGGTGGGGCTAGTAGCATGTGGCATGTCCCCAACGCATCACCCACCCTCAATGAGTCAGACAAGGCCATCTGTTGGAAAAGATGGATTAAGATGTTTCCCATCTTTAATGGGTGTCAGATGTCAAATAATGACCCATTCACACGTCACCCGGTGAGCTCAATATTTATAGCAGCAGATCCCTTAAAGTGCCATCCTGCTGCTCTTGATCAGGGACCCTAGGTGTTTCCAGCTCAACAGAATATAGTTTTCAAACACCAGCCAGTGGAAGAAGACCCCCAACCATAAGATCTCAGAGGCACCACAAAATCCTGCTGGGTTAATCATTGACCCTTAATTACACGATTCCAGGAGGTGAAGTCAATCTCTCTTTCTCCATATGGGAAGACCTAGTGTGGGAGGAAATTCACATGCACACTGGGAATTCCTGCCTAAGGAAAGGAGATGAGGTGCCACTTTGAAGTTCTTGCTCTTGCTCCTTTCCAGCATGACCATGGACACAGAGGCCCTCAGCATCCTGGTGCCTACAGGAGGTGCTGTGATTGGAATGCGCAGTGTCTCCCACACAACCAAGGGTTCAGATACCTGGTCCTCGGCTGGTGGCACTGTTTTGGAAGGTTGTGGAACCCTTAGGAGATGGGGTCTTGCTGGAGGAAGTGAGTTAGTAGGTGCCAGCCTTGCCGTTTTTATACCTTGGCCATACTTCCTGTATGTTCACTGCTTCCTGGTTGCTGATGCAACATGACCAGCCACCTTACACTCTTGCTGCTCATCAAGTATTTGATCACAACGATGAGGAAAGTATGTAATGCAGGAGGCAACATCAACCGAATCCTATTACAATATTAGTCATAATAATGGCCGGTAATCTATACTGTGTGTTTGCCCCGCCTGGGCACCTGGCAAAGAACTTCACCCAAATTATCTTATTCAACCCTCTCAATGTCCTTATAGAATCTTTGGGACTTTGCTTAGCTAGCGGAAGTGGGTCACTGAGGGCAGGCCTTGAAAATGATATCTGCTTCTGATTAGGTCTCCATGCTCTGCTTCCTGCCCACCATGTGACCAGATACCTTATATTGCTGCCACCATGCCTTCCACACCAAGGTGGACCAATTTCCTCTGAAGTTGTGGATCCAAACAGACCCTTTCTCCATTAACTTGCTTCTGTCAGGTACTTAACCAGGAAGATCAAGCCGCCTGCTAATGCACAGCTAGCAATCTCCAATGCTGTAGGTGGAGCTGGAGCCCCCTAATATCAGAGCTAGGATCTCTGACTCCATGTTTACAAATACAGCCAATAGGAAGTGACAGACCTAACAGTGGAATGGGGCGGAAGTGGGAGCGAAATCATGGCTCAGGTGTTGCAGTCACTGTTTTGATCCACTGAGAACATGGTTACCTCAGCAGCAGAGACAGAACACCGGAAATTCAGAAAGACAATGATTGGCGATTTCTGTTTTGGGATATGATGGTTTTAAGAGGCCAGTGCGTGTCTAGCTGAGAACCAAGGGAGACTGGGTGTTACGGGGCTTGGAAAAGACCTTGAAAGAATCTTCCAAATGGCACAATGAGGGGTGGGGGTGGTTAATAACAGGAATGACCACCAGGCACTCTCCATGCAGCTGCTATGCCCCGAGTGGCTTTGCTCACAGAACCTTATAAATTCATATGCTAACCCTTCAAGACACAGATTTCACTCCGCCATCTGCCAATGAAGAAATTTCCCTCAACACTGTCCCAGAGCCTCCTCAGGGGAGCCAGGGAAGAGCAACTCAGTCACACTAAGAACTGAAGGAAGCCACTGTCCCAACAGAAACAACCCACTGTCCCGATGGAAACACTTCTAGAAAGTGGGGCAGGAAAGTTGCTGAAAGAAGCCATAGATTGAACACACAGAAGGGACACTGGGGGTGGCCTGTGCTCCTGTCATTAGGAGAATGAAAGAACACTGACAGAAGGATTCCCTGGACTTGCTGGACAGCCTGGTTCAGTGAGAGACCTTGCCTCAAAAAATAGAATGGGAAGTGTTTCTACTACTACATACTACACCAACCTTTGACCTCTACATACATAAATATGCACATGCAAGCACATGTACACGCACACACACACATGAACATGTATACACACCACACACGAGTACAAACATAGACTTTAATAGAAGAATAATATCCGCATTGTGAAAATGTATCTCATATTCACTCTGCTGTGGGAAATTTAAGGGCACAAATGATAAAAATAAAAGGACATGAAAAGGCAAATTTCAGATTCTGTAAAGACATGAGTGTAAGAAAGTTTTAGAAAAAAAGTTTAAATAAATGTATTTGTAATTTGAGAGTGAAAAAGACATTTCAAAAGGGTTAAAACCAAGAAGCAACAAAGAAAATTCTGCCTAATGATGTTAAAAACTAAAAATGTATGTGTAGTTAAAAAAAAGAAACAAACAAAAAAATCCAAAAACCAACAAATAGGACTAAAGGCTGATAGCAAACTAGATGAAATATATTTGTAACACCTACTATAGAAGGGACCATTAACTTACAAATACGAATTAAAACTTAATCAATTATGTGTGGTTATGTGCTAAGAAGAAAAAGATAGCCCAAATAAAAATTATAAAAGGGGAAAAATTAATTTTCTTTTTTTGGGGGGAGGAGGTACAGGGAATTGAACTTGGGGTTTCAAATACACTGGAGGAGTATTCTCCCACTGAGCTATATTTCTAGCCTGAGAAATCTATCTTTAAAAGATTTATACTTATTTTAAATCATGTGTATGTGTGGTAGGAATGTACATCTAAGTACAGATGTCTATAGAGGCCAGAAGAGGGAGTCGGATGGGGGCTGGAGTCACAGGCTGCCTGACAAGCACTCTGGGAGTCACAAGCTGCCTGATGGGCACACTGGGGTCTGGAATTGGGTCTTCTGCAAGAACAACGTTGTGCTCTTCACTGTTAAACCAGATCTCTAATCACTCTGAGAAAACGATTTTAAAGATACACAAATGTGCTCACACCTGAGTCACAGTCAAGGAAATGGCCTTTGAGCGTGTGCTTGGTGAGGCAAATGAGAGGCAGTGTCAGTTGGATGTCTCAGAGAGTGAACACTGCTTGCAAAGGCACCTCATGTGCAAATGCCCTGAGGCAGGAATGTGCTCGATGCCATCCCCAGTGAAGCCACAGTAGAGTGACCAAGGGGCAGGAGGGACAGGCGTGGTCTCAGAGAGGGACAGGAGCCAGAGCATGATCCCCATGGCCATGTAAGGACAGTGAAGTTTCATCTCAGCTTGATAAGCTCTAAGAGACATGATCTGTTGTGTTTAAATGAGGGCACCAGTGTTGTCCACAATGCAGGCTGTGTGTGACAGGGTGACACCGGAAACAATGAGTTCAGGTAGGAGACTGCTGCAACATTTGACCAAGAGAGGATGAGGGCTAGGAGGAAGGGGTGGTAGGGAGGATGCATTTGGAATTGGGCTATAACATATTTGCATCTAGTGTTGACATGATGTTCAGGTGTCTGGGAACTGAAGGAGGAGAGAGAGAGAGGAGTTGATGTCCTTGAGCCTTTGGCTTTTGGTTGCTTGGAGAGTGACTATCACTAATGGTTGAACATATTTATAGGGCAGGGGATTGGATCCTTATTCTCCTTCACGATTAGTTTGAAATTAAAGTGTGGAAGGCAAGGTGGCTGGTGGGGATGCAGTATGGAATGGAGAGTGTTGGGGGATAGCTTGGCATCAGGGACATCGAAGAAGGGAAAGGGTGGGCAAGGTTGTGTGCAAACGGCCAGGTTTGAGAGGGCTCACTGGTGGAAGACGGCATGCCATAGGGATTTCTGCTGCTGCTTTTCTGGGGCCTGGATGTCAAGACCCAAAGGAGCCAACACTGGAATCTTCAGGGGCTGTTTTTCTTAAAAAGAAAAAACAACAACAAAAAAACCCATCCACTTCCCATCCCCACTAGGAGGAAAGCTGCTGATTTGCAAGGCTCCCCAGAGGCTGTGAAAGGAGCTGAGAAACAGCTTCCAGCAGTTCTGTGCCCCCACCCCCACCCCTTCCTAGAACAATGAAATATTTAAGTGAGATAGCACAGAGGCGATGCAGGAAGTAGGGGTTAAGCAAGGGGGCAATGCTGCTGTGGAGCGTGATTTCCCTGCTAATAAGCAGCTTACGGGGCTGGCAGATCACAGCCTCCCTGTTAAGTGTTTCTGTGTTTTTCAAAAGGAGCTGTCACTGCCCATTAGTTTCAGGGGCACTCCCTAAATGGAGACGTCAGCCCTTGGGAGGCAGAGCCTGGGATCTGTTCTATGCCTGCTGTGTCCTTGGAGAGAATAGGCAGTTTCGTAGCTGGGATCTAATTATCAGCTTAATCTGGACCACACCTGCCTCCCTGACTGTCCTGGGTAGATTACTCTAGCGTCATTTGGCTGTTGGCAGCAAATCCAACCCCCTTCCTGTCACGGGTACACCAGAGAGGCCGCTGGCATAGGGACAGGGGATGAAGCCAACTAGGGTACTTAAACCACAGGCACCCATTCCAGGAGTGGAGTGAGCAGTTTTGCCTGATGGAATCATGCTCACTTGTGGGTCTACAAGCCTAGACAGAAAAACTGACCTGTGAGTGGTTACAAAGGAGCCATGCCCACCCCTCCTCGTTTCTGTTTCAGTAGGTTGCCAACAGCTTACTTGGAGTGTGGCTACTAAGCGTGGGGCT